AGAATTCTGTGTGCACGCCTCTGAATTCTGTGTGTGCACTTTTGAAATCTGTCTGCACTTCCGGATTCTGTGCGCATCTCTGAATTGTGTGTGCACTTCTGAATTCTTGCCATGCATCCATGTTACCTGTGCCTTTCCTATAAAAGGGTGACCTCTGAACCCGCTTCAGGTACCAGCCTATGGACGTGGTCCCAGGGAAGCAGATCCAGTCCCCTGGATTCCTCAGGGGTATCAGGACCAGCTTTTGGAAACAAGTTAGATGTTGGACTGTTTAAGCTGCCTCTTGGGAAGAAAAAGGAACTCCTAGATCTGAAGCATCATCGTTTGGCTTAGAGGTGATGGGAGATCTAAGTTGTGAACTTGGTGACTTGTTTTATCCACGAAGATATTGAGGTTTGTGAATTAAAAAGAGGAGGAGGAGGAGGTGGAGAGGTTGATGAGGAGTTGGCAGCAGCCAGATAAAATCCATGTGTTTCATGGGTGTTTCTGGAATGGAAACTCTGGTGTCCCCAGGAATGAGGAGCCATCCCCCCACTGGCCCATGGGAGCACGTGTAGCTTGGGGTGGCTGGTCTTTCTGAATCTGCACCAGTTTGGGGAAGTGTTTCCGCTTCTGAAACCACTAAATCCTTGCAGAGGGTGAGGGGGTGGGACAAACACATCTCATTGTGTACTGACAGAGGGGGCTTGCAGAGGAAACACCCCCTCTGCTTCTGATTGGTCAGAGACTGTCTTCCTCCTCTCAAAACCCCTGTCGCTCCTATTCGTCATTCAAGTGCTCCTTCACATGTTCTCTCTCCAAAGGCTGCTGGGGATTGATTGGGTTGTCTAATTCAATGAACACAAACCCAAGATGCCCCTGTTAAATATGAATTTCAGATCAACATTGAAGTTAAAACATTATTTTTTCCCTTTTAGTGGAATATGTCCCAAGTAGTAAATACACTCTTGGACTCATTTCTCTAAAACATTATTAACCATAATATCTGAAATTCAGAGAATTTTAAAATTGTTTTTCTGAGTCACACCAAAACCAAACTTGAGTGCTTAGGGAAACTCCTGAGTTGGTGATCAGGGTTTGCTCCCTACATACTGGGGGACCATGTGGTGCTACAGTTGGAACCCACGCAGTGCACATGCACCAGGCCCTCCTGGATATATTCCGTCCCCCCCTCCCCGGCTCCTCAAATTCAGTGTTAATACATCACTGGGGCCCTTGCTTTTGAGTAGTGGCCACTGGACTCTACTGTCTTCTGTCAAAGTCCATCCCTCACCCCCAGGGAATTCCCCACTGGGATTTGGTGCAGAATTGGGTGATTGAAAAATAAACTTCAACAACCGGTTTGCACATGGCGTGGGATAAGCTGCAAGAACCCCCAAGAAGTGGGCTGAGACCCAAACTCACTTGTCTACCTACTATATTGAGAGAGAGCAGAGAAGGGTTATTCAAGGCTTTTCGTATCTAAGGTCTGTGAAGCACCGCCTCAAAGAAACCGTTGCTATTGTAAACAGTGCTGCAATGAACAAACAAGGTGAAGGGATGGGTACTCGATTACTGTATAACTGAAACCCAAGCACAAAAATTTGTAAGTCTACAACAGTACCTCATGGTGTTTCACTAATAAAAATTTAAAAAAAGAAAAAGAAAAAAGAAACCGTAAAGAATTTTGGTTTCACTGTGGGAGAAAACAAACACACTGTCCTCCCGTTGTTCATCGATTTGCTCGAGCAGGCCCAGTAACGTCTCCATTTTTTGAGACTTGTTGTTACTGTGTTTGGCATACTGAATACGTCACGGGTAGCTTGCCAGGCTTTGCCGTGTGGCCAATACACTCTTGGTAGCTTGCCAGGCTCTCCGAGAGGGATGGAAGAATCAAACCCGGTTCAGCCGGGCTGGCTGTGTGCAAGGCAAACGCCCTACCTCTGTGCTATCGCTCCAGCCTGGAAGAAAAGAATCCTAGGAAAATGTCAGGATCAATAAATTAACCAAGAGCCCTTTCCAAATTGTACAGCCTGTCTGATGTCAGCTATCTACATGCCTATAGAGATAAAAAGAATGGAGGGGATGCATGACACAGTTTTGGATTTCTGGGTGCTGTTTCACTATAACCCAAGTGTCCTCAGCTTCGCCGGCTCTGCAAAGGCATGGGCCCATGTTAGCAAACACAAGTGAAAGGGCTGCCTTTCATGGAGGTGTCCAAAGGAGTCCTGGTCCCTACTCAGAGACGCCCTGCCCCAGGTGCTTCTGAGGACTCCCAGCTTTCCAATTGCTCTCACACCAGCCCACAAGCTCTGGCCACTCCACATTGTTCCCTCCCATCCCGGTCCCCACCCTGCAGCGTCTGCCACTGAAATTACCTGGGGAGGCTGCGTTCCAGATCAGCTGTCAAAGCCAGTGATACTCAGAGATGGAGGGGCATATGCGCAGAAGCGGGGGCGCTGACCCTCTCCAAAGCCTGCTCTGAGCCCCTAGGGTCCCAGCGCCCAAAGGCTCCAGCACAGCCCTAGGCGCCTGCACACCTCCCACCCTGCCCTGAGGCGGAGGTGCAAACACTGGATCCTGCACCATGAGGCTTCAACACCACCATCGGACTAATGACTTTTATTTGTTTCTTACAAATTCTGATCAGTTAAAAATATACCCATCCATTCAGGTAGGAAAGGAAGAAATCAAGCTCTCACTATTCGCAGATAATATGATACTCTACTTAGAGAACCCAATAACTTCCACCAAAAAACTCCTAGAAACAATAGACTCGTATAGTAAATTTGCAGGTTATAAAATCAATACCCAAAAGTCCATGGCTTTCCTATACGCAAACAGTGAGAGAGAAGAAAATGACATGAAAAAAACAATCCTGTTCACAATTGTTCCCCAGAAAATCAAGTACCTAGGAATCAGCTTAACTAAGGAAGTAAAGGACCTATACAAAGAAAACTACAAAACACTACTTCAGGAAATAAAAGAGGACATGAGGAAATGGAAAGATATTCCCTGCTCATGGGTCGGGAGACTTAACATTGTCAAAATGGCAATACTTCCCAAAGCATTGTACAAATTCAATGCAATCCCTATAAGGATACCCATGACATTCTTCAAAGAAATGGAGCAAACACTCCTGAAATTCATATGGAACAATAAGCCCCCACGAATAGCTAAAGCAATTCTTGGGAAAAAGAAATTGGGAGGAATCAACCTCCCTAACTTCAAACTCTACTACAAAGCAGTAATAATTAAAACAGCATGGTACTGGAACAAAGGCAGAGTTTCAGACCAATGGAACAGGGTTGAATACACTGACATCTCCCCTCAATCATATGCTCATCTAATCTTTGATAAAGGTGCAAGTAATGTGAAGTGGAGTAAGGAAAGCCTCTTTAATAAATTGTGTTGGCATCACTGGACGGCTACATGCAAAAAAATAGGCTCAGAACTCTGCCTAACACCATGTACAAAAGTAAGATCAAAATGGATTAAAGACCTCAACATCAGACCAGAAACCATAAGGTACATTGAAGATAAAGTTGGCAAAACCCTCCATGACATTGAAGCTAATGGTATCTTCAAAGATGTCACACCACTGGCCGAGCAAGTGAAAACAGAGATAGAAAAATGGGACTATCTTAAACTAAGAAGCTTCTGCACCTCCAAAGTAACAGTGACCAAAATACAAAGACAGTATACAGCATGGGAAAGGATATTCGCCGAATACACGTCTGACAAGGGGTTGATATCAAGGATATATAAAGTACTGGCTGAACTTCACAAGAAGAAAACATCCAACACCATAAAAAAATGGGAAAATGAAATGAACAGAAACTTTCTCAAAGAAGAAATCCGAATGGCAAAAAAGCACATGAGAAAATGCTCTACATCATTAATTATCAGGGAGATACAGATCAAAACCACAATGAGATACCATCTCACACCTCAGAGACTGGTCCACATTCAAAAGAACAAAAGCAACCAGTGCTGGCATGAATGTGGCAAGAAAGGGACACTCCTTCACTGTTGGTGGGAATGCTGACTAGTTCAGCCCTTTTGGAAAACAGTATGGACCATTCTCAAGAAATTAGAAATTGAGCTCCCATTTGACCCAGCAATACCACTCCTGGGAATATATCCCAGAGAGGCAAAAATGTGTAGCCGAAGTGACATCTGCACTTGTTTGTCCATTGCAGCACTCTTTACAATAGCCAGAATCTGGAAAAAACCTGAGTGCCCGAGAACAGATGACTGGTTAAAGAAACTTTGGTACATCTACACAATGGAGTACTCTGTAGCTGTTAGAAAAGATGAAGTCATGGATTTTACATACAAGTGGTACCACATTGAAAGTATCATGCTAAGTGAAATGAGTCAGAAAGAGAGGAATAGACATAAAAAGATTGCTTCATCTGGGGCACATAAAGTAACAAAATAGGAGATTAATACCCAAGAATAGCCACAATCAGTACCAGGGGGATTACTCCATGGCTTAGAGGCCAGCTGGGCACTCTGGGGGGGAAAGGGCAGCTTCAGATAGAGAAGGGAGCACCAAGTAAAGGATGTTGGGAGGATCCTCCCAGGATGGGAGATGCAAGCTGAAAGTAGACTATAGACCAAACATGATTGCCACCCATTGCCTCTTTTGCAAACCACAACACCCAATAAGAGAGAGAGAACAAAAGGGAATGCCCTGCCACAGAGGTAGGGTGGGATGGGAGATGGGGGGTAGGAGGGATACTGGGATCTGTGGTGGTGGAAAATGGGCACTGGTGGAGGGATGGGTACTTGATCATTGCATAATCGAAACCCAAGCACAAAATTTGTAAATCTACAAGTGTACCTCATGGTGTTCCACTAATAAAAATAAAAATAAAAAATATATATATACCCGTCATTCACATTTAATTTTTCCCTAGAAACTTGAATTACAAAAAATGACTGGAACATAAATGGGTACCAAGGACCAGAGTAGCCAGGAGCAGCAAATGAGAGGACCGGCCCCTCCGGTGTCTCTATTCTAGAACCAAGTGTGAGTTGATGGCTTTGCTCCGCAGATTCTTCATCTCTTCTTGCACCTTTTCTCCCACTTCGAGGGGCGGCGCCTGGTCTTTCACCTCCCTGAAGAGCAGAAGAAACCCAAGGACGCCTCAGGAGGTCAGTCAATCACTGCCGTCTCCCACCAGCGCCCTTTGCTGGACTCAGGATTTGTCCGCGAGCGCTCAGACAAGGTGGGGCTACTTAAACATCCACATGTTTATATGTGAAATTATATGTGTGGATAGAACACGGCACCCTAAAGTGCTAGAAGGCAAGATGAGATATCGGTATATGCATGAAAGACTATTCCTGAGATAGGAAGCATTCTTTCAACTTAGAACGAGGCAAACGCTTCCTATAAAAGAGACGGAACAGCCTCTCAGATAGGAGAAATAGTCGACAAGCCAGACAAGTCTCAGTATCACTCTTACACCAAGAAGGTGAAATCAAAACTAGATGTTCGCTTTGAATATCTGTATTGGTGAAGAATTAACAGGACGATGTTTGGTGGTGCTCAGGATTTTGATAGGGCAGGTCCTGTCCTCCCTAAGAGGGATGCTGGTTACCCTCTGCAGTGCAATGAAGTACTCAACATTATGTACTTCAGACGCACTTTGGTTCAGCACTTACTTCCTAGAAATTTATCCCAAAGAAATCATTGGATAAATTTCCAAGAAATTATGACTCAGGGATGTCTGTTGGAGCATGGCGGTTTAGAGCCAAACATTGAAAAGATTTACAAGATCATTGCTGGAGGGTTGGTTTAAAGATTAGATCTGTCGATCCATGAAATATAATGATGCATGCATGTATTTATAAGTATGCTTATGAGATATTTCTAAATAAGCATGTAAGAGAAAAACAATATTATTAGATGATTGAACTTTGTTTATACATATATGTATTTTTCCATTTCTTTGGACGACTATAAGTAAATATTTGGAAGACAATACATCAATACAAGTTATTACCTCTGAATGTCTGATTATTGTTTTGATTCTATTCCTGATATTCTTTATATTTTCTGATTTTAATAATAAGAAAACATTCTTTAAAAATGTATACCAGGAACTGGAGCAATAGCACAGCGGGTAGGGCGTATGCCTTGCATGAGGTCAACCCGGGTTCGATTCCCAGCATCCCATATGGTCCCCCAAGCGCTGCCAGGAGTAATTCCTGAGTGCAGAGCCAGGAGTAACCTCTGTGCATCGCCAGGTGTGACCCAAAAAAGCAAAAATAAATAAATAAATAAAAATGTATACCTTGGGGGGTTAGAGAGATAATATAGCATGTAAGGCTCTTGTCTTGCAGGTCCAATCCCCAGCATCCCACACATTCCCCTGAGCACTGCCAGGAGTGATTCCTGAGTGCAGAACCAGGAATAATCCCTGAGCATTGCTGCGGGTGGGCCCAAACCATAAATAAATTAGATAATTAAATAAAAGTTTACCTTGAATTACAAATTTATAAGCCATGTGAAATATTATCTGAAGAGCTATTATTCAATTTTTTTCAGACTTGTGTGGATGTTTGCCTAGCTAATGAGCCCCTGAAGGGGAGGCAGAAAGAAGAAGGAACATTTGCTAAATGTTCACTTCACATCAAACAATCAATTACATGCCTTCAGACTGGCACCTCATTCAATCCCCAAAATTGCCTGTGAGAGAGATTTTATTTTCTGCCTGTTACAAATGAAGAAACTGTGACCTAGCTACAGATGATCAGTAACTGCTGAAGAATGCCCTGATGCTACATGATGGAGTGGAATTCAGACTCAGGTTCACATATCTGCAGAGTCTGAATCCTTACACTGAACGGAAATCTTCTATCTATCACTCAGAAATAATAAAGCTCTGAAATGAAATGCAACAAATGGAAAAATTGAATTCTTTCTTTCTCTCCCTCTCGTTTTCTTTCTCCTTCCTTCCTTCCTTCCTTCCTTCCTTCCTTCCTTCCTTCCTTCCTTCCTTCCTTCCTACTTTCTCTCTCTTTCTAATTGATTTTTGGGTCATGCCCAGCAGTGCTCAGGGGTTACTTCTGGCTCTGCACTCAGGAGTTACTCATGATGGTGCTCAGGGGAACCATGAAGGGTACTGGGAATCAAATCAGGGTCGACCATGTGCAAGGCAAGCACCCTATCTGCTTTACTATTGCTCCAGCCTCTGAATTTTGTTTTTAAAGGTATACTTGCCAACACATCAGAAGGAAGGAACATGATAGCACAGAAAATTAAATACACATCTAAATAAACCTGTCTTTTTTTTGGAAAACTGAAAATATCCACTTACTTCTCCTTTTTGGAGTCCTTGTCATCCAGCATAAGAAATTCCAATTCTATCATTCCTGGTGTTAATGTAACTTCCATATTCTGTTCACAGAGGTCTCTAAAAAGGAATAAAAATGGTTCATGGGATATTTTTTGCTCCCCAAATAGAATTTTGATCATTTATGAATTATGCAGTTCTTACGGCTTTTAGCATTAGTTCCACCTCCTTTTGTCTAGTTCTATGTTAAGGGAAGCACAAGGCTGATCAATTGCCCACCACTCGTAAATAATTGGAGAGATAGTGAAGAAGCAGTTTTTTAACCAGGATTACAGAATTCATATCCTGCTCAAGGCTGGAAAGATAGTACAGCATGTAGGACATTTGCCTTGTAAGCAGCCGACCTGGGTTAAATCCCTGGCAACCCCATATGGTCCCCCAAGCATTGCCAGGAGTAATTCCTGAGCACAGAACCTAGAGTAACTCCTGAGCACTGCTGGGTGTGATCCCCAAACCAAAAAAAAAATTAAATAAAACCTCATATTTTTTCCAAGCATACATAGAACATTCACTTCATTGACCATATCTTGTGAAATAAAGAGCCCTGAATGATTCTAAAAGATTAAAATCATTCAAGACTATATTCTGCAAACCATTAGCAAAGAAAAATAAAACTGTAACAGTTTTAAAATTGTAAGCATATTTCTCAAAAATCTGGGGGAAGAAGAATGGAAAGGACCTAGTGCTATCCTGTTCCTCAGAGTGGAATGCAGCAGGCTTTTTCTGGAAAGGACATTGCATAGCCTAGGGCCTCTTAGAATGACTCACAGCCCAAGAGGAATCAAAAGACACAGGAGTGACTGGGCATGGCTGTATTATAATAAAACTTTATTGACAGAAATATGTGGCAGGCCGGAGCTGATCATTGGTCACAGTTTTGTTATTTGATGGCAAAAAAAATGGGTTACTGCATGTAAAGGTGCCAGTTAGAGTGAAGCTATGAGAGTGCATGGTGATTAACACTTGCTGTGCTAAGGGCTCCGCTTTAGACGTGGAGGATCTCAGAGCTACTCATATTCCTTTGGTAAACGCCTGGTCAAGTCCATGTCTGAGCTGCAAGAGAGCATGGGAAGCCTCGAGTTTCAATAGCAAACTAAGTGGTAACAGCTCAGCAAAGGTCTCAAAGTTTAAAACTGCCAACAGGAACGTGGCTCTGCTGAGAGAAACAAATGCAGGTACAGCAATAACCCGTTCAGGAAAACACCGTTGGAATCTGCCAAAGTTGTTCCAGCCTCTACCTCTGAAGCTAATTTTAACCAGGCAGCTGCTATGTGAATGGCCACTCTGGTATTTTTCAAACAATTTTCTCATCTCTAAGGTGGAGATAATAACAAGACCTTATGGTGGACCCTAAATGAGATGGCTAGAGAAGTCCGGTGCCTGCAACACCTTTACTGCGCAGTTATTATGCTAGTGATTATCGCTCTCATCCTCCTCCTTGGCATCATTAGTATCTCCTTTCAGTATGACAATTCTCCTGAAATTAGGTGCTAATTTATTTGTTTCTTTGCTTTGGGTTCATACCAAGAGGTGCCAGGGATTGGGCTGAGACTCCTGCTTGCAGTGTGTGTACTCAGACCTGGGAGGTAACTCTCCAACCCGAAAGTAGGTACTATTATTCATTCTATTTGAAGATGAGGTCATAATAAAAATGATCACTCTAGACAAGAACTGAGTGTTGAAATTAGGTAAAGAGAGATACACGATAACCCTTTGATAACCCCCTTTTTTTGGGTAAACCATAATGCCCAAAAGGAGAGGGGGTAAGGAGGGAAACTGGGGCCATTGGTGGTAGGAAACGTACACTAGTGAAGGGATGTGTGTTGAAACATTATGACTGAAACCCAATCATGAACAGCTTTGTAAAACTGAATACATCAATAAATCAAGATGAGGTCACAACGAGGAAGGGTATGTAGCCCAGTGGTAGATTTGATGCATTAGGCTATGGGTTTGATTCCCAGCTCCCCAGTACCTTTCCCCCAGCCCTCACTTTGTGATAGAATGCATGCCTCAAAGAAGAGGAAACTGTGTTCCCACGGGCCACATATCAGGGCCAACTGGAGAAGAGTTAACTACATTGTGATCTGTTAAGTATCTTCTTAGCAGGAATGATCAGACAGAATTCGCTCTTCTGAACCTCAAGGAAATGTGAATCAACTGGCAAGGGGTGGAGCACTTTGAGGAACTACCCTCAGGCAGTGAAAATTTGAGCAGAAGACACTTGAACCTTTCTATTCAGACTGGATCCTGATCGCTGGGCATGTAGGTATTGTCTAGTGTCACTGTGGAGCCACGTCTTAGAAGTGCTGGATGTGCATCTTGGATAGGACTGGTTACATGTAAAAGAATACATTTTTAATTAAAAAAATGGGATTTTGGACCACATCTGGTGGTGTTCAGTTTTATTCCTGACTCTGTGCTCAGAGATCACTCCCAGAGGTACTTAAGGGACCATGTGTGGTTCATCCAGGGACTGAACCCAGGCTGGACGCATGTAAGGCAAGAACTCTACAGCTCAACATGTAAAAGTGTTTAAAAGGGGCTGGAGGGGCTGGAGCAATAGCACAGCGAGTAGGGCGTTTGCCTTGCATGCGGCTGACCCGGGTTCAATTCCCAGCATCCTATTTGGTCCCCTGAGCACCGCCAGGGGTGGTTCCTGAGCGCAGAGCCAGGAGTAACCCCTGTGCATTGCCAGGTGTGATCCAAAAAGCAAAAAAAAGGGGGGGGGGAGGGGAATGGAAACATGAGATTCAAGGATATCTTATGTATGCTCTTATATCATATGCAGGCTCTCCAGTAAAATCAAATTCAACTACCTTGGTTTGGGACTTATATTTCTTTTTTTTTTTTTTATAATTTATTTATTTATTGAATCACTGTGGGAAAAGTTACAGAGCTTTCGGGTTTAGGTCTCAGTCATGTAAATATCAAACACATTTCCCTTTACCAATACTTATTTTTAACCCCGAACCCCAATAGACCCCCACCTCCCACCCCTCCCAATTCTTGTGAGGCAGATGAGTTCTAGTTAATACTCTATCTACTTTGACTAGATAGATTGTTTCGATAGAAGATGCACAATTATTGTTTAGAGTTTACGACCCACCCCCCACAATCAGATATGCTGAAACAGTGTTGTGAAATGATTTGCTTTCTACAACTTGGTTTAAGAATAAAATGATGTCACGCGGCCGCAATAGCGGCCGCGCGGTTTTGAATTTCTGCTATTTTACTTATTGACCCTGGAAGAATTTCTATTAAAAGTTAGATAGTTAAGAGATTGGTTTCTGTGCCCTGGAGTCGTGGCCGTGCCGGAGAGCCGCTCGTGGGGGGCAGCTGGCGACCTCGGTGGGGCGTGGGGGACGGCCCACAAAGCCCCCCTTCCCATGAGGTCCCCGTCGCTCCCGCCGAGCCCGGCTCAAACCTCCTGTCCACAGGGCTCCCGTGCGGCCGCCATCTTTCTTTCCAGAGAGGAGCGGGCGGGCCGGTCAACACCCTTTCCCCTCCGGGCAGGCTTGGTGGCGCTGTTTAACACATAGTCCATTTGCTTTTCTGCTCCAAGCGGCTGGTTCTCTGTGCTAAGTCCTTGTGCCTCCGGGGCTATGGCCGTGCCGGAGAGCCGCTCGTGGGGGGCAGCTGGCGACCTTGGTGGGGCGTGGGGGACGGCCCACAAAGCCCCCCTTCCCATGAGGTCCCTGCCGCTCCCGCCGAGCCCGGCTCAAACCTGCTGTCCACAGGGCTCCCGTGCGGCCGCCATCTTTCTTGGGACTTATATTTCTTTATGTCTCTAAACCTACCCAACTTTCAATGACTAACCCAAATTTACATGACCACCCAAACCTTCCGATTCATTTAGCTCTGCCTCTGCTCTCTCATTCTTTGGACTCCTGAAGAACCTACAAATTTAAGTCTGTACAATTTCTCTCCATTGTATGTTTTCAGTATCATACTTTCTAGGAGACCAGGACAGTCAGCTCTCCTCCCAGAGCTGGACTAATGGCAATGATCAAATAATAATAGTAATAATAATAATTTATTTTCTATATCATACATCTAGTTAGCAGAGTACAATACATCTAAATTTCTTCTTTTATCTTGTTTCAGGCACCTATAGCTGCCATTTTAATTATAGCATGTCTTGGTTGTCTCATCTTTGGGTTTATTTGAAATTCTGAGCTTCTTGGATCTATGAATATAGTTTAATCCTCAGATTAGCAAAGTGCTGTTGTTGTTATTGCTGCTGTTACTGCTTTTTGTTGTTCTGGGGCTACACCTGGGAGTGCTCAGTCCTTACTCCTGGTTCTGTACTATCAGTTCAGCCCTCAGATCGGTAAAGTTCTCAGCTATAATTTCTTTAACTCATGATTCTTACCTTTCTTCCTTATAATTTGGATTTTTGTTTTTCTCTTGAAATTGTCTCAATGATCTCTGGTTTCTTTTTAATTTTTCTTAATTCCTATCTACTTCTGTTCTTTTTGATAGTCTCATGAATCTTATCCTCAAGAGCACTGATTCATACTATGGATTCTATTACTCCACTGCTGAGTTCCTCTATTGTGTTTTATTAGTTCACCGATGGAATTTTTCAGTTCAGTGACTTCTGATTACAATATTCCCACATCATCTTACTTTCTCTTGTCTTTTGATGGATGTCTCTTCTATTGCTTTCCTCAATTCAGTGGACATTCTTGCCATTGTAAACGTCTTTGAAGTGTTTATCCAAGAGGTATAGAGAGCTCTTGTGTCCTTTGAGACCAAGTTGGGACCTTTCCAACTTTTGTTGGGAGACCAAGTGGTGCCAGGAATTGAGCCTGACCTCCTGCAGAGAAGGCACTCAGCCCTTTGAGACAGCGTCCGGTCCTTAAGTGTATGTGGGCTCCTCTGCTTTTTCATTATCTCGTGTACTGTGAGAGCTGAGGGTGTGTCTGTGTGGCAATTCAGGGTTCACATTGGTTAACTGCACACGGAGCCTGTGGGGCTGAGTTTGTATTGCTTCCAACCACTGCTGAGACTGTGCACTGCTGACCAGAGTTGCCCCCCAGGATTCAGAGTTTTTGGTACCTTACCTTGGCTTTGTTGCTATAGTTTTTAAGTCTGGGCAGCCCCACACAACAGAAACGATTTCCCTAGGTCTTTGGAGCAAACACTATCCCTCTCTGAGGGAAAGCCTGCACTTACAAGAAGTGGATGAGGCCGGTGGCTTCTCTCTTTACCTGGGTGGGCAACTGTTTGCTCATCATTTCAGCTTCAAATGTCAGTGGTTTGCTTCTTTTCCTGGGAAAGATGTGCATCCACGGCACCTGCCAGCCTGAGACCTGTCCAGGCCCAGCCCTGGCCTCCTGCTCAGTGAGGAGGGAGATCCATGAGGCTGGGCTGCAGATTTCTGGCTCTCTGCTTCTTTCCTGTTTACCGTCCCCATTATTCCTCTTCCCCTGGGTACATTCTGTGTCTCCATGCCTCCCTCCTTCCTCTTGAGGTTTTACTGCTCAAACTGCCTTTCCAAAACTCCTCAGGGGAGGGAGCTATTTCCAGGTCACTTTCATGCATTGAAAGGCTTCAAGGCTGGCTTCTGTGATCGCTCTGCATTTCCTGGCAGTTTTTGTCTTGGGAATCTTACAGGGCATCCTTGGCACCTCCTCCCTATCACATTTTGAACCTTTTAGCTAGTGAGTGTCTGGTTGGATATTAACCTTTAGGTATTTGATATATACCTAACATATAGGCATATATTAATACATTCTTAATTTTCAAACTCAGGCATTGTGCTCTTAAACCCTCAGAGCACTTGAGCTTGGTTATTGAGACCCAAAGTAGAAAGAAAGAAAGAAAGAAAGAAAGAAAGAAAGAAAGAAAGAAGAAAGAAAGGAAAGAAGGAAGAAAGGAAGGAGATAGAGAAAGAGAGAAGGAAAGAACAAAAGAAATAAAGAAGGAAGGAAAGAAAGAAAAAGAGAAAGAACAAAAGAAAGAAAGAAGGAAGGAAGGAAGGAAAGAGAAAGAAAGAGAAAGAAAGAAAGAAAGAAAGGAAGGAAGGAAGGAAGAAAGAAAGGAAAAGAGAGAGTACCGTTCTAAGGTTTCCAGTCTGTCTTCTTCTGGCAAGGAGTTCAGAATGGCAGGGACGTCTTCAGGAAGCATAGCTAAACTGAAGGAATCACAGCTTTGGGGAAAAGCACACAAACATCCAGAGATCAATGATGACATCTGCACAGTCGTGGGGTCTAAAGTACATTTTTCTAAAGCACATTTATTCTACCTCCAGGGAGGCTTCAACCTCTTCAACCTTCTGTTCTGCATCTTTCCTGAGACCCTGAGCATGGCTCCCTGGAGGAAAAGGCAGGGATCTGAGAGGCACCAGTCAATCTGGAGAATATTATCAAATAAGATTCTTTCCAAAGCTTGGAAACAGAATTTTTAAACTGGTAGTGCCTAAAATGATATTATTTCCTGGGGCTGTTAGGGGATAATTAGATAGTTCATCTTTTTTGTTCTCAATGTTTTCTCCCCACATTCATACTCTTCCTTAAACATTCTATTCACTGTCAAGCCTTAAAAAAAAGCTGACAGTCAAGTTTCAAGATGATGGAATAATCATACATTTCTCTCCTCTCTCTCTCTCTCTCTCTCTCTCTCTCTCTCATCTCAACTCCATATTTCAAACGATTTTAAAGGAATAAAACCGGAACATAAAATAGTAAATACAAAAGGTTTGCGTGTATTCCGTATATATAAAATACACATGTAAATCAGAAGACAGGAGTGGGAAAAGCAGGGGATTAACAGGCACCTTGTGTGTGCCTATGTTACTCTTGGGTATGTTTCTTTCCCTTGTTTTGTCATTCTGTTGACTTGGTAAGTATGAAGATTGGTTAAGATTATACTCATGTTTGACAACTAGGAAGATGGTGAGAAAGTCAACTCTGAAGGAGTGATTTCAGGTGAAAATAAATGATGAAAACAAAATGCAGGCTTTTCCTCTCCAAGCCTGTGTTCTCTCTTCTCGCACTTCTCTAAGGCAATTTCATTAAGTAAAAACTATTTTGTTATGAGATTTAAAAAAAAATAATAAGAGAACAGCAAATGGTCAAAGTCATCAGAACTGAAGATTTTATCTATAGAACTGAGCTTACATAGGGTGGGGGAAGAGGAATGGGAGGGGTCCTTGGGATATCAGTGAAGGGAAGAAGATTCCCTGGTAGTGGTTGTGGTATTGGAAGGGTGCATTCATAGAAAGCATAATTAAAAATATTGCAAATCCCCGTATCAAGAAAAATGGTGTGAAAATAGCTATTTTGCTTTACTACAAAGAAAATGTAGAAACTTATCTAATAGGTTATTTTATATACTTATACCTTGTATCGGCCCGGCATAGCCAGATTTGATTCCTCTGCCTCTCTTGGAGAGTCTGGCAAGCCACCGAGAGTATCTTGCCCGCACGGCAAAGCCTGGCAAGCTTCCCGTGATGTATTTGATATGCCAAACACAGTAACAACAAGTCTCACGATGGAGACATGGAGACGTTACTGGGCCTGCTAGAGCAAATCGATGAACAATGGGAGGACAGTCCTACAGTGCTATACTTTGTTTAAGAAAGAAAAAAAAACCTGCTTAGCATTACTAAGAGAAATTTAGGGAAGATGTTAGAAGCCCAAATTGGTGGTTAATTACCAGCAGCATTAAGACTTCTCTGAGTGACCTGCCCTCTAGGAATCCTGGTGGCCGCGAACTTCCAGAACCCAATGAGAAGCCCAGGTATGTGGGATCACTGACAGCAAATATCAGGCCTCAAGGGATACAGGATGGGCTTGTCCTTCTCATTTCCTGTCCGCATGGGACTCTGGAGGTCACACCCACAAACTGCCTCCATCTGCTATTTAAGCTCCTTAATGGCCATGATCCAGATACACACAAAAGAACTGAGCTGCTCATTGCAGAGATTTCTCCAGACCCTAATTATCTAAAATTTTAGAATTCCAGGAGTGTGCAGCTGCTCTTGTGGCCACACGACATCTTATGCTATTCATAACAAACAATACAAAATAAATTATTGAGCATCTACCTTTTTGGCAGGTTTGAGTGGTGGCGGGAAAATTCAAAATAATGGGGGTGGGAAGGTGTATAGGTGGTGGAACTGGTGTCAAAATATTGAATGTAATGCATTACTGTGAACGACCGTATGAAAATTAAAAAAAAAAGACTTCTCTGAGTATACCTCTGAGTTTGGAAAGCCTGTTAGTATTCTACATATTTAAAAAATGAAATCAATAAAAAAGTGAAGGAAAAACCCCACACAGATACAATAATAATAATAATAAATATGTATTACATAATCACACTGGAGGGGAAGAGAGACTGAAGGAGGAGGAAGATAGAAAGCATAGATATCTTTAACTAAGTAAACATAGTAGGTGTCAAAGTTCTCGCAAAAAAAGGGGAAAAGGGACCCACAAATGTGAAATAGGAAGAACATATAATAACTTCCTAGAAGTGGGCTGGAATTACAAGCATTGGTATGAGTTAGTGATTCCTGAAATATGTAGACATAGGGCTGGAGAAACTCTACAGGGAACCTGTTTTACATTCTCGCAATCCTAGTTCAAACCCCTAGCACTGAATTGTGTACCTGAAGCATTATTAGACATAGACCTAGAAATATTCCCTGAGCACAGCTGGGTGTACCCTCCCACGTATAGGAATACATACCTGTGCTTATGTGCTGATGTATACATGTGGATATAAGTGTGTGTTTATGTATTTTGTGTGCATGCAGGTTTTCCATATGCACATATGCGTATTGTGGCCTGTGTGAGGAAGCCGAGAAATAGAAGCATCCTGGTAGCAATGCATACACCTCTAATCTGGGGTTTGGTCTGTAAAATCCATTCCTCATGACAAGGAATGGAGATCCACCAACCAGAGATTACTGCTGCTTCCTGACTTTATGACAAATAATGCAGGTTCTAATGGAAGATCCCCTGAAACTATAAGCCGGTGCTCAGGCAGGTGCTCCGTCCAGATGGGGAATGAGATGCTGAAAGCCTGAACCAGCTGTTCTCCAGATAGCAGGCTGGTCTGAGAAGAGGCAATAGCAGCAAGCAAGACTTTTTCATGAAACAAAACTTTTAAAACTATCCAATTTAAAAACACCGAGTCCATGTCCTTTTTAATGTGTCTACGCATTGTGAAACCGCAGTGGTTGTGACAGCGGATATTGGTCGAGTATTTTGTTTAGCATTACTTTGGTCTTAAAGTCTTAGGAAGCAAAGTCAAACTTTGATACTTCTGAGTTGGTTCACAAAATTCTTTGTGGGCATTTTGCTCATATACAGAAGATGGAAGTTTGAGAACTATTGGATCACATCGTATCTTCAGTTTCTGCTGATACGTAGATTTATGGAACTTCTAAAGACTCAATAAAGCCTCTCTTGAATGTATTGTGGAGCAGACCAAGTGAGCAGTTCTGATAATCATAAGCACAAAAGATAACTGAATATGTAACAGTGTGAATGGATTTAGAGGATATTGTGCTAGTGAAATAAGCCCTAGAAAGACAAACAAGACATGATTTCACTGACATGTGGTGCAGAAAGAAACAAAAGAAGAAAAGAATGGGACAAAACAAAATCAAACCGAAAAACCCTTTTAGACTCTAAAATCAATTTTAGAGGTTACCAGAAGGGAAGGAGGAAGCGGGTGTAGGTAAACTGGGAGGGCCATCTGGTGGTGGCATCTGTCAACTCACTGGTCGCCAGAGTTGATCCGGCAGATCTGGCTAGCCAGGCCAGTGCCCTTTTCCTTCCTCATGGCTCCATTCACCTGCATCACTCCCTCCAGAAGCTGCATGCTCTGCTTCAGAGGATACCCTCCCTGAATGTAACAGTGACAGACAGTTCTTCTGTGGGATACCTGTGTAGCTGCTGTTCATTGCTAGAACCTCTTACTGGCACAAAGGGAATAACAGTCTTGTGAAAGAGGGAGAAAGACTGCAGTACTTAAGTGAACGCAGTATAGATGGATAGTGATTTAGAATGATATGCACCTGAAATTCATATTGATTGAGTTATGAATACATAATGTATTCAAAGAGAAAGTAAAACCTAATATTAACTACCCCACCCCACCCCAAAAAAGACTGAATAAACATTTAATGACTGTATTGCATGGTTTGAGGACAATGGATATACTTCACAGGGGGCAAAAGAAACAGGCGAAACACCTCAGCAGTAATAGGCTACATAAGTCATTCAAGCAAATGACTGCAAGGGATCATTAATGAGTTTACAGGGAATTTAAAAAAGATCACCATTAGTATACACTGTAATTGCTTTTAGAAATGAAAACATAATCCAAGTCACAACTCATGGAAACCCATAATAAAGAAAAATGGAATAGTCTTTCAATTTGATGATCCACATACAATTAGAGCTTATTTGGAAACCAATTGGCCCAACAGAGCACTCAGGCACAGAAGCTGAAAGTAACAAGTCGTGGTGAGAGTTTTCTTTAATTCATGTAGCATTCATGTTTAATTCATAGTTGACTCAAGCCCAAGGTAACTAACTGCCTTCTGACTGCTCTTGAAAGCAAGGCCTCAGGAGGTTTTTCCAAGGACACAGAGTTGGAGCAGAAAAAAAAAAACTGGTGGTGTGTGTGTGTTGGAGGTGGAGGGTGCTATTTTTCTTTTTCTTAATTCTAGTCTAATCACTGTTGGACACAGGCAATCTCCACTTCTCACCTTTCTCATTTGGTTTTATGTGTCTCCACACTGTCCCCCACACCCAGCGTGGTTGACTGATTGCACAGAATCTTTAAAATGTCTTTACCCCATGGCAAAGTGGTATCTCAAGGTGGTGGTTGACCATTTCCATCTGCTGTAAACTGAGTGACTGCCAGGTATGGGGCCGGTGGAGAGGGGGCAGAGGCCTTGGAAAAGCCATCAAAGAAGGTGCTAAATGTTTCTCATCAGTTCTTGTTAATCCTCACCACAGCCTGAGGAGGATTTCAGCACCTCTCCTCAGGGTGCACAGGCCAGGAAATGATCGCTCAGAGCATCTGAGTAATGAGTAACTCACCCAAGGACATAGAGTGACACAGCTGACAAGGGCTGGAGCAGGCCTCTTGGTGGCCCGGTGGCCCAGCTCTCTGAGGGCTCCTATTTTT